ATTCCTCCAATCAGTATTTGGTAAAGTCTCAGTACTAGTAGATTTGTTCTAAAAGGGAAAGCAGTTTCATAGGATATGTCGTGTTGAAGCTGTAGACTTTGAACACATACTTATTTATTTCTCCCTGTTTTCCTTCTTTCCCCTTCCTTCCCCCCTTCAACGGTGGATGTCTGAGATCACGATGAGTGGCCTTTGTAGACCAACCTATAGATAAATAACTTTTCTCTTTAGCCGAACTCATAGCACTATTCTCTGCAACATCCTTTGTATTCTAATCTGTTTTGCTAAGTCACAAAAAAATTCCCCACTGATCAGTGAAGCTGCTGCTTAGAACAGGTTAACTGGCATGTTCTAGCTTCAGCTTCTGTGGAACTCCATAGAAGAGACTGCTCGCAAAAGAAACACAGGGTGAATCCAGTTGTCTGTAGCTTTCGTTTCTAACAGTTCCAGGGGTTCAAATGAGGGCCTCAGTGACTTGTTGTGACACAAGTATTTTTGTCTGGGACGCTTGAAGGGCTGGAAACTGACGGTGCTCCTTTCACTCTCAGTTCAAGTACAGTATTCTGGTCCTGGCAGCTGAGAAGCAGCAGGTGTGTGCTGAGGAATGGCTGGCCATTGGTCCTGGCCCGAGAAGGAGCTTTTCCACAACAGTGGAATGTTTCACTATCACTCAGCCCGTCCAAGAGCACCTATTTTTATTTTACATTCGTGCCCTGGTAGTAGAGCTCAAGCTTATTTTGGGTTCACTGGTGACCGTACAATCAAGGGGATATCAGTGCAAGAAGCCAAGAAGCTATCACCTGTGCCGTGTTTATATCTCAAGAATTGTTTAGAGGACTGATTACTCAGCTGTGCCTCTTGACCTTCTAGTGTTACACTAAAAAAGGTGACTAACGTGTTCTTGAAAGTCCCTTCCCTTTTAATAACCCATATAATTCCCTCAACGTATGGTACGAGAGGGACCAGATTGCACTATTAAGTATTGAGCCCACAATGCTCTTTGCCTACTGAATGATCATTTGTGGTTAACAGAAAGGGCTGTGTTGGTGAATGATTAACGAGTTCTCCAGGGAAATAAGCTGATCTGTAGTATTTGCTGATATCCATAGTGGAATATTAAGAACAACGTTATAAATTCAGAAAGTGAGATGAAATAGAGAAATTCCACAAAATGCAAAAATGACTAAAACTAACTCAAGGGAATAGAAAACCTGGAAACTCTATAATAAAGAAATTGAATTTATAGTTAAGTCTCACAAGAAAACGTACAAGCTCAGACATCTCTACTGGAGAAGTATATCAAATAGGTAAGGAAGAAATAATATCGGTCTTGCTCAAAGTCCCTCAGAATAGAGGAGGGAACACTTCCCAATTTATCCTGTAAGGCCAGCATTATCCTGTTGCCAAAATTAGAAAAACACATTATTAGAAAAGAAAACTAACTACAGATCAATGTACTTTATGAATAAAGGTGGAAAAAATACGCCCTGGCTGGTGTGGCCCAGTGGGTTGAATGTCATCCCACTAACGAAAAGGTCTCTGGTTCAATTCCCAGTCAGGGCACATGCCTGGGTTGTAGGCCAGGCACCCGGTTGGGGGCATGTGAGAGGCAATCAATCAATGTTGCTCTCACACATCGATATTTCTCTTCCTCTTCCTTCCTCTCTTCCCTTCTCTCTAAAAATAAATAAATAAAATCTTTTTTTTTAAAGGTGGAAAAAATATCCTAACACAATATCAGCAAGTTTAATCTACCAATACATGAAAATTATAATACATAACTAAGAATCAAAAGTTGTTTTAACATTAAAAATCAATAAATATAATTCATCATATTAACAGAATAAAGGAGAAATTTACACAATCACCTCAAAATATGCAGCAAAGCTATCTGAAAAAATCAGTACTCATTTATTACATACATATTTCAATAATGGATGAGATATTCCTCAACTTGATAAAAGGCACACAAAAACCTGTAGCTAAGATCTAACTTAAATGTTGAAAGACTTAACACTTACCCAATGAGAGGGAAGAAGGCAAGAATGCTTACTCATAATTGCTTCCAATGAATATCGTGCTGAAGGTCCCAGGTTGTGCAATAGGAAAAGAAAACACAATAAAACACACACAGCTTAGAGGGGAAGAGGAAAACCTGCCTTTATTTGCAGGTCATGCACATATGTAAATCCAGAATACTTTATAAAATATACTTTATAAAATACTATGAGTACTTTATAAAATAACTCAAACTACTAATAAAATTTAACAAAGATAAAGGATACAGTGTCAATATACAAAAATCATTTGTGTTTTTATATACTATCAACAAAAATATAAAAGAAATTCAATACTATCTACAATAGCATAAAAAATCAAATGGTGATAGATTTAACAAAACATGTGCAAGATCTGCATATTGAAAACTACAAATGTAGACAAATTAAAGAAGGTCTAAATAAATGGAGATGTAAATTAGGTTCGTGGGTTAGAAGACTGAATATGGTTAAGATGCCATTTCTCCCCAAATTAAATATATTGTTTCAGTACAGTTATAATCAGAATTTTAGCAGTCTATTTTTGTAGAAATTAATCAACTGAGATTCTAAAATGTAATAGGAAACGCAAAGGACTTAAAATGGCCAAAATGGTTTTGGGAAGAACAGAGAGGGAGCATGTGGCAAGCAGAATCATAAGAGGGCCCCAAGATTCCACCCTACCCCCACCCCGTATTGTGCAGCCTCCAATAATTCTGTCCCCTTGAGTGCGGGAGGGGCCTGTCAGTACCACGGAATATCACTCTCATGATTAAGTTCATTATATGGCAAAGGTAAAGGGATTTCCATCGGGATTGGAATGGCGTAATGCCTGTGTGCACACCAGACCAAATGTAAAGCTTTGGTTCTCACCCTACAGAAACAGCTGCTGCTTAACTATCCAGGTCAAAGGATACATTTCACAGCCAACTGTCTGGCAGCAGGCCCAGGAAGGAGGCCCACGCAGACCCTGGGGCATCCTTGTGTCTACTTGGGAACTCCGGTACCTTGGTTTCCTGGGATGTAGTCTAGAAAAGCAGGGGTGCCGGCTCTGGGTGGACAAGCCACTTGGCCCTGGGATCACCTCACTCTGTAGTGAGGGAGGAGGCTCAAGGTGATTAGAGTAGGACCTGCCAGAGCAGGACAGCTCACACTTTCATGTGCACAGGGATGACCTCTGACTCATCAAAGTGCAGGATCAAAACTTAGCCCTGGCTGGCATAGCTCAGTGGATTGAGCGTGGGCTATGAACCCAAGTGTCGCAGGTTCGATTCCCAGCCAGGGTACTTGCCTGGGTTGCAGGCCATAACCCCCAGCAACCGCACATTGATGTTTCTCTCTCTCTCCATCTCCCTCCCTTCCCTCTCTAAAAATAAATAAATAAAATCTTAAAAAAAAACTCATCAGAACGGTACAGGTATTCTACACATCTCACAAGCTCTAGGTGCTGTGATCCATGGGACCCCACTTCGTTAGCAAGACTGTGGACTTGGGCCCAGGTCTGAGGGGCAGGTCACACTGATAGTCTCTACATTTGAAGTCTGTAGTGCAATGAATAAACTAAAATTGTGGGTAATTCAAAAATTATGCGTTGTCCTTGGAAAGATCCTAATGATGGTTAACCTTAAGGTAATAATAGATTTTTTTTCTTTTTTCATCTTGTACATGTATCAACTGAATGAAAGTAGTTGACCCAAAAGCAGGATAAAAAAAACAAGGACCCCAGTCATATTAAAACTATGTGTTTAGCCTACATTTGCATATTGTAATGATCATTCAGTGTGTTTTGTGAAAGAATAAATGTTCATAACACCCTAGGTTTTAAAAGTGGTATTTTTTTTTCAGGCAAGATAACCCATGTTGTAATTGAGATACTTGGACTAAGAACTTGGGAACCCATCTGATTACTAGCCTTGAGCTGTAACCACCAGGGGTTTCATAAAAAGTGGCATTTATTTTCATTAATGAAATGTGGGGACATGGTTGACATAAGAAATGAGATTAAAATTATTTCTATTGAATATTCATGTTGCATTTATCATTCTGCTGTATTTATTATTTGAGACATAACTTTAATTTAAGACAGAGACTTCGATCCCTCCCCCTGGGATGGCTCCCTTTATCGTGCTATGTTTATTGACTATTTACAAAAGCGTTGACTTTTTCTTTTAAATTCTATGCTGAAGGTTAAGGCCTTGGGCCATTCATTTCTTTATTGTATCTGAACTTACTCTCTCATCATTAGTTTGAAGAAAGATGATAATAAATTCAGGACTCTACTCTCTTTTGATGATTATATTGCTGATGGGTCAGAGTCAAGCCTCTGGAACCCAGATGAATTTACATGTTATTCTGAGAGAATTAGGACTCTTCCTTTGCCCTCCACATACTCTACTTCTCAATGCTGCTAAAGCCCATGCTTAGACTATATAAATTAATACATTTGCTTGCAATGTGACTTCAGGACATTTTGTAGCAGTGATTTTAATGCTGTTTGTGGTGAAATAAGAACTTGAGAATGCAAAGATTAATTTAAACCACATGATGGGTTCAAAGAAAAGGGACACCCACTACAGATTCTTGAATGTACGCTGACTCTGTACAGTGGGGAATGGGATCCAAAAACCACCAGTGAACTTTTAAACCCTCTTGAGAGGAATCAAACCAACACAGTCAGCTCTGGGAGAGAGCTGCTGTGGACAACAGACAGACCATTCCTCTCTCCCTCACAAACACAGCCCCTTGCCTGGGAGAACACAAACTGAGAGATCAGGGAAAGAAGACGGACCCCGACCATTACCACTAATGGCATGAAGTTAGAACTGTCTTTCCACTCATTAGCTGGTTTACTGATTTGTCTTTCATTATAGATTACAAATTCTGTTGGGTTCTTTGAACAATAGATAATGAGCAAATTGTATGTTGCTGGTGAATTTGAAATAAAGGATTTCTTTTCCCTTGCAGTTCGTTGTAGCTGTGTTCTGGATCATTTATGCCTATGACAGAGAGATGATTTACCCGAAGTTACTTGATAATTTTATCCCAGGGTGGCTGAACCACGGAATGGTGAGTCAACTAAAACAAATGATTGCCTTTATTTAAAAAAAAAATTGATTATTAAGTGCTGTTTTCTAGCTTAGGCTTTCTGTAACCTCAGCCTAAATAGCTGTGAAATGTTGGAAGGCTACAATGCAGTTATCACCAAAGAAGAATACTGAATATAAATAAAAAACGCCCTCCCATAAAATTGAGTCACTGTTAAAACTATGCAGTAGATGACTCCACAGTGTGTAAGAGGCATCGGTGGTGCTCGATGGTACAATACAGCCAGCTCACTGGGGGATGAAGTGCAGCCAGTGGGAGGCTTGTCCTCTCTGGCAGCCCGAGGGTCGATTCTCGCCTGCCCAATTGTGGGCATCCTATTTCTCCTCAACTCACATCAGTGGGATCGTGTGGGAAGTGCCTGTGTACTGTACTTGGGGCAGTTCCCCCGGAGGAGCAGCCGGGCTGTTCCATCCCCTGGGAGATGGGCGCCAGAGGTGTCTTCAGTGGTGGCTGCCTTGCCAGGGTCTGCCATCCAAGGGCATTTGCCTGCGGCTGCTAGGTCTTTTCCTCCTTCTGAGTCCAGTTCTTTCTGATGCTTTAGTCCTCACGTTTCAAATCAAATACCGCGGATGGTTTGCACATCACTTTATACTGTTTGAAGAGATGTTTTCTGCAGAGAAAATTGGGTGTCATCTTCCCTTTCTGCTTCTGGGACTCACCACAGTTTGGGTACTAAGTAAGAAGCCTGCATTTTTTTGGTGACAGCAACTTTTAGACTGTCACTGGGTGCTCCTGGTGAAAAGGGCAGCCCATCACAGAAATTATAGGGGAGCACAGAGCTAAAAATAGTGTCTTGAATGTGAAAGCCCTTTCATGACTCCATGTCTTTCGCTGTCTTCTGCCCCACATGACCTTCCCATTCTTTGCTGGGAAACCCCTGTTTATCCTGCTAGTTTAGATAATAACATCACTAGGCAGCCTTTTCTCACTCTCCCGTCAAGTTAGTGCTTCTGTCATTTGTGCATGCACAGCACTTTCACATCTCTATATCCACATCTGTGTCCCCCGCAAAAATGTTACACTCCCAGTGCAAAACAGCAGCCTGCAAATTCCAAGCACTCTTCCCAGCTGCCTGGCTTATCGTGGGATCAGTGCATATTTATTAGATTGGTGAATGAATTCAATAGTTTCAATTTCCATAACACCTTGCCAGATAGTACTAATAGCCACTGTTTTTAAGAACCTACTGTGTGCCAAGCATTCTACAGTGGCTATATCATTTCATTTTCATATAGGGATTATGAATGAGCAAGTGTTATCCCTTTTACAGATGAAGAAACATAAGCTCTGAAAGTTTCTGATACCAGAAGGGCCTTAGCTGAGGACAATTGGTGCATCAGGTGCTATAGAAGTACAGTGCGTGACTATTTGGAACCCTCACTGCACAATATTACCTTCTGGCCAGAGCCTGAATTACAACCGTAGCAGATCCTGGCACTGTGTAACATTTCCAACAGATGGTTTATTGAGCATGTACACAGCCATTAGAACTTCAACGTGAGTCTCATTGTTTTCTCTGGATTCAGTTAGATGGATTAAAATTCTCACTCTTAGAGGCAAATAGAAATGCAAGGAGGATTTCAGTGACATAAATGTTTAGGGAAGAAAAAGATAAATTTATTAACATATCCAATTTTCTCAGATAATACGAGCTCAGTAGGTGCTTTCACAATGAATTTTGTCTCAGTTCAGACAAATGACCATTTCTTTGCTTGTCTTCGTATTTCCATTCATGTTTCCAAGAGTTACTTACGGACAAAGAAGTTGCTTGTGGTGGCTGAGGAATATTTTGCAATATTAAATAGTTTACATTACCCTAAATTTGTATGTATGAAATTTTAAGTACAACATGCCTAAAGCTTAATGCTGGTTATTTGAGATTGGCAATTAAAATATGAACATTAAATGCTGGAATCATGAATAATTACATTTTTATAAAATGTGCAATAATATTTGTGAAATATCAAAAAATTAAATAAGTGTTTTCAGCTTTGTTTAAATTTTATTTGAAAGTTTAATAATAATTAACTATAATTTGTGTTTGCTTTCAATTTTAGTAGACAATTTTGAATATTTAATTTTAAAAGTAGAAAAATAATTCAATTATACAATTTTTACATTAATTTTAATTCATATTTTAGTGAAAACATTTAAAATGTTTACACCTTGATTATAATTACATTTTATGTTAAGTTGACGTTAGATTTAGCTTACAGTAATACTATTAGTAGAACTCAAAATTTATAAAAATTTCCTTTATAACAACAAATTTCATGAATTTATTGATATGAATGCAAGAAAATAAAATAAAATTTTGAAATATTTATATTAAATATTTTATATTCGTATTTGTAATTTACGTCAATTTGTCTTTATTTTACTACTCATCTAATCATATTTTTCTGTTGTTTTATGAAAATATATCTAACAAGGTAGCATAATAGAACTTTTTTAAATGTTTTACTTAATTTGTAACTTCTGAATATTTTCACAAATGGTCTATGGCTCACTAGTCCTATTTGCTGTTGCATGTTTAAATTTTTATAATTACATGAATTCCTGGAGAGAATGTATCCTGTACTTATTAGAATCTCAATATAATTTCTAGGGACCCAGAGCCCTGAACCACACAACTCAGATGCAGTTTATAAGTCTAACATGACACCATTTCAAAAGACATTACATCAATCTTGGATTTACAGCATTTAAACTTCCCAGCACAAAATTAGTCAGAAAACAAGCATAAAGAAAAACTCACAGACTCTGAAATTCACAAGGTTTTCATTTTGATATACACTAAGGTTGCCAGAAGTTAGACCTGATTATAATTAAAGGCATGTATTTTATCACTTCCTTTCCACTCTCTACCTCTTTTTCTCGGCAAGTAATCCTAGAATTTACTTGCAGAAGAGAAGAGGAAAGGGGTAGATAGATGAGTTAGAATAGTAATACACCCTTGGTGTGTAACCACTAAGTTATCTCCAGGCTCCATGAAAATAGCACCAAAAAAAAAAAAAGAATTTTAACTGATTGCAATTAAAATATAAACATATAAAACAGCAAATTTAAATAGAATCAGTTCAGTATCCAAAATAAAAACCGTCTATCCTTAAAGCCCGATTTATTTTTATATTCCCAGCAATTCAAAAAGCACAGAATGAGTACAAGGCATTCACTGTCAATGATAAAAAAGATGTTTGTGCATTTGCTTTTGAAACTTGGAAGAATTTCAGGTTTATGTTTATATCCTGCTACCACCTTTCTATCCTCAGTCCATGGATGACCAGACAGAAGAAAAACTGGTGATATCAGCCAGTGGATCATTTTCTAAAATGTAATGAGAAAGGTCATGGACAGTCGTGTGAGGACTGTGCATGGCTGCAACGTGGGGGGTGGTGCTGTGCTTTGATTTAATCCAATCCAGCAAACATGTATTGAATACCTGTGATATGCAAAGCACCTTGCTAGGCACTGGGTGGCTATAGGAGAAGAAAAACACTTGCAATTTTAGAGGATGGAAATGGCATGTTTGAAGTGGAGGAAGGTAAGTAGGAAAACAATCCCACAAGCCAGCAGAGTAGTTCCCAACAGGCTAGGTTCACTCTGACAAGGAGAGGCCCCATTGTTGTTCTGGCTTCGAAAATAGAAGCCTGAACCTTTCTCTTCTGCCAATTATAGTTTTAAATCATTGCCAGTGGAGTAAATATACATTTACTCCGATAGGTAAATAAATAAATATTTAAACTCCTGTATGATTGCAGACTCTCACTGATGCTATAACAGGAAAAAAAAACAACAACAACAACGAGACAGTGTTTCTGCTTACTGAAGACCTAATTAATGTTTATGAAGTGCTTTGAAAAGGCCCAGCACTGTAGAACTTTATTATATTATTATTATTACCACAGATCTTTAAGCAGACATGACCTAAATATTCTTATAATCACAGCAGGAGTTTTTCACTCCCTGTGTAATTTATAAGGAGAGAAGAAAAATAAATCCCACCTCTCTTCATGCTTGATTTGTCAGTTGTTCTTGTTATATGTAACTGATCCTCAGGAGAACCTTAATCTAGGGTACTATTTATTCTGTTCAGCGTTATTTTGACATTTGGTAATTACTAAAGTTTTTGTACATCTGTCTTTCCCAGAAGAAACGGCATTAAATACTGCTTGTATGATCATTGGTTTTGCAGGAACTCAGATTTGACATTTTTCTCTTGGTGAATTTCCAGTTCTGGGATACACAGATCATGCATTCCGGTACCCAGGGATCCTGTGCCGCCCCGAGAGTGGATATTTTATAAAATAAGCTGTTAGTTGAAGGAAGACCATTGTAAACATTCCCTATGAAAAAAAAAATACTGACCTTTCTCAGTTTTCCCAATATATTCTAAAGCAGCTAGAAGATATCTGGAAATTATTAAAAATAAAAGTTCAGGCTGGAACAGAGGTCAGAAATTTCTTGGGAACCTCTATCTAAGACTCCCGGTGGAGCTCCCAAAGAAAACACAAATAAGACCCCAAAGACCCGGGAACAGGGAGGGTTGCGTCCACAGTGAGGCAGACACTTGGAGCAATGCTGCGTGCTATTCTGGGGGGTGAACTTTTTTTCATATTCAGTTTTACTGGCCATAGCTCCTCCCAGCGTGAATTTTTATTTGCGATCATTAGTTCCACCGAGTCCACTTCTTCTGTCAGATTTTGCTGATCTAACTGTTGACATGAGGATTTGATTATTCTATTTAAGTCAGTAATCAGCTTTAAGGTTAGTTCATTTTAGCGGTTGCTGATTTTATTATTTATTTATTATTTCAACCAGAAATATTATCAGTCGGAGAAAATGTACTTTTGAAACTGATGTTTGAGAAACCTGGGAAGAATTTTTTGAGGTCGAGAAACCAAAAGGGTTTTCCAGGTTCTCATGTAAGAATCTTAGAAGTTGTATCTCGATCCTAGCAA